TTTTTTGTCACTGTCCTCCATACTCCGTGTGTCAGTTATTTCCATCGGAAAGATTAATTGTGAATCCAAAAGAGAACAGATCGAGCCAACCGCAGATATCTTTGTACTACTGTTTGTCTAGCTCAGTCTAGACCTCATTAGATGTGTAAACAGAATATATTTCCGTGTGTCCCACAAAGGTTTAATCAGCAAGATTTTGCTAACGAAACCCACCGCATTTTATTATCATATGTCTACGTAAATTTACTTAAAAGAGACTTTTTGTAATTTTCAAATTGTAAGAAACATGAAGTGACCGATCGCTTAATCTCATACAGAAAGTATTGATTTTTATGTCAACAAAACTGGAAGTGTTGCGTAATCAATTGATCATATTCCCATAAGATACAATTGAAGTTAAATGTATGCCCAGGGTGCCCAATGTAAGTGACAGCGTTCAGCCTTTTGCGTCCCAATTTTTGTCACAAAAATCAATTTTGCAATGAAACTATTTGTGTTTTGGGTCAGATGGTTTTAGTGCAACCAATGGCGTATCATTTAGTTCACGAACTCAGGTAAATGTCTATGATATCTTAAAACAAATATCAGAACAACGACTTCCTTTAAAATAAGTTTTACATTCATAATTGTTTCTACTACTGGGGACCCGAAAAAAGTCACAAATTGTATGAATACTAATTTTTATTCCAATTTGAAATTCAAGAGTGTTTTTGTTTCAAACAGTGGCATTTTGTTGTCTATGTGTCTTATCCAATTGTGCCTGGATTTTACCACATGTGTACTTATAAAATAGTGCATATGTGCAACAATCAAATTCAACTAAGAAAAGAATGAGAATTAGAATTTGGAGAAATTTGTCAACTGTTATTAAGCATTGAAGTCTCATACATACCCACTTGTTTGCTCCTGTCTTGATGGGACGTTTTATAAAGATTCAACAAACAAGAAGTTCGAGGAGAGAGGGGTATGCATTTACATATCTCCCAGAGTTATTGTCAAAGTCACCAAAATCATCCTTAATCCAAACCTTCCTTCTTCCTGTTGCAGCTGACTGTCTGTGTAATGTTTTGTTCGGGCACTTTCAAACAAAGTTGTTAGTAGTAATTGAACGAGATCCATGGATGGAACTGACCTCACTGAAAAACTTGGGTGTCGTGCTCATGACTATTGAGAAAAATGGCTTGTCTTAGCAATAATGAACGGAAAAACCAAAATACAAGGTTTTTTCTTCGTGGCCGAGACAAGCTACTTTTATCACTTGTTTGTAGTAATATTTGGTTGAAATAATCACTTCTAAGATTTGGAAAATCCCGGTTACGTTCAATCCCGGTTGTTTTATAGGTGGATACAGATGTTACGGACCATCATCCAGACGTGTTAGGTCATGAGTTATTTAACTGAATAAAGTTTAGCTGCTATCAGATTATGGCGCTGTGGTCTAGTCGCTATCACCAACGTACTTTAGACCCCATGGTTCGGGGTTGGAACTCTACCAAAGCCGGATCTTATATGTTTTTCCATACATTATATAATTTGTTTGAAGTAATAAAGCGTAAGTTT